GTTAAACAAAGCATTAAACCCCCAGTTTTGCTAAATGTCAGCAAGAAACTTGTAGAGACTCACATTTTCCTCTCATGCATGCTTTTTCTAAGACTGTACCATATCTCCGCAGCATTACAGTATATTTGCTCCTCCTCACCGCGAAACACTTGCTCCGGTTGGACGCGCTTAAGGACGCTTTCCTGTCACATATCACACATGTGCACACCAATAAGACGAAAGAACACTGGTAAAGGTGTTTATATGCGGGTGAAATCGTCCATAAATCTAGTTTATGACCCTATATTGATAAAGGAGAACGGTTTAATGCTTTAACATGACCTCATTGAAGGGTAAGGTATACTGTAGATCTCCAGAAGCAAGACTGTGCACCCCTGACCTAAAGAATCATTGCATGTATGCACAATATACAGCAGTCACTTCTGAAATGATTTACCACAGCGAAAGCTGTGAACAAGAAACTGCTGTTTTGCTTAAAGAGGATCTATTCTGCTTATCTAGTCTTTAGTGTGTAAAGTTGCTTTTTGAATATGAAAAAGGTCTGCAAAGTCCCTCCAGCGGGAGTTATTCTCTATATCTGCAAGTGTTTCTGAACTCCCTGAAACGCCTCCAGTTTTCTCCCGGGAACGAACACGTCACAATATTCCTTATTTAAATAATTCATACGCAGGATAAAGGGGCGGGGCCTGGTTGAGTGAGTTAGTAGAGCATAGAAACTCGTGGTTATGGTAAGGGGGCGGGACATTTCCCAAACACGCTCAAAGCGCTTGACCAATCACAACACACTGATCCAGCCGACCAATCAGAGCCCATTTTGCTTTTCAGAAGGAGGGGCTTCCAAGAGACAGGAACTAAACAGGGCTGCGTTTCCAGTACAACGACGTAACTCGCTGCTTAACTGTAGTAGGATGCATCGTTGAAGAAATCAACTCATGCTCATAGGTCATCACGACCGTAACCGAAACCGTATTGTCGCAATTTTGTTGTTCAACCATGTTGGTTAATGATGTCACGCGCGTGGTGAAGGAATAACTTCTTTTAATGAATCCGTTTGAGATTGAATTAATACTTGGCATCCTGAGGACTATTTCCCAATTTTCTCAGTTATTTTGCTTTATTTCCAGATTCAATCATAGGCTCAGTCTTACGTACTAGAGCACGTTCGCACATGCGCACTCTTCAAAAGCGGCGCTTTAAATCTCTTGACAAACTCAAATATGTAAATAACATTTGTACATATTTGAAAATAAAATATACAGATTGTACTGAATGTCAGCTTGCTTATTTGGCTCAAGATAAGGATTTATTAAGTCATGCAATCTAGAAACTCTGCTTCTAAGTTCACAACCACACAACTTTGCGAAGCTGTTCGCGAATGTTGGTTGGAACGATGTTTTCGGGAAACACCGACTCATTGAACTATGCGGATAACTACGCAACTTGCGACCATAGTTGGCAGACTGGGAAGAGAGGAGCTGCAACAATGTCAAATATTATAAAAAAAATAATGTGTTCTTTGAACATTCAAGCATGAAATCGTATTCGAGTAGAGCCCAAAAACAAAATCAAGACTTAGAAAACACGTATGGCCTCTTTAAAGACATTTTAACAACTATAGTGGCATATTATGAGTTGTCAGTTTTTAGCAAATTGTTGTCTATAGACGCTCCATGGTTTGTTTATGCTCTTTAAAGTCGCAATGAAACAGAAATAGGAAACTTTTCTTCCATATTGTGACGCGCATCAGAGTGAAATGGATTATTGAAAAAGAAGAAAGGGCGGGACTTGATTCAATCCATCGGTTGTTGATTGGATGGCGGCAGATCGGCTGAATTTGAGTGTAAGTAAGGGGCGGAGTTTAAGCGGACGAAATGATTGGACGAGTCAATTATGATTTTCACCTTGTTGATAATTAAATGGATGAAATAATCTCAACCTTGCATTTGGACCAACATGGGATTAATGCTGATCTACGCTGGAATTGTCAGCAGGCCAACGCAAGTGAAACTTTTATCATCTCTCCTATAGAAACTCGACTGATTTTGAGACGTATGTCCTCTTACCAAGGGGTCTTCAGCATCTGATCGTTAGGTTCAGTGTTTTGGGGGGGGATCACAGGAGACAAAGGTTTTACTTTAGGTCAGGCACTGAAAAAGGCACACCGCTGAAGAGGTCCTCCCCCGACTTCAGGACTGATTTTACACGCTTTTTGCTTTTTCACACTGCCTGAATCAGAGGAGCAAACAAAAGAACGTCTCTCTTATTGGGGGACTCTTGAGAGGGAAAACCAGCCAGGGAAGGTGACCCCTGACCTCACATTTACTAAACGTGTCTCCCGGTGTCCCCAATAAGAGGGGTGATGGGAAAGGTCAAAATACGTCACTGTGAGTGATGTCAGAGCTGTCAGGAGCTCTTGCCTCGAGTCCAAGACATCAGCTGTGTCTCAGATTAGGGCCCGGTTTCTATTAAGGGACGATATTTGCCTACTGGAATTGATTGACAGGGGCATTTTTTTACCTTTATGAGGGCACTTTTTTCTAACAATTTATAAACACAAAGCATTTTGTCTATTTAAAAGAATATACTTTTGTATATTTTTAAGAATATACATCAGTGTGAACTGATATTAAATGCATGTTAATTGAAATGAAAATGTATTATAGTTTAAATCTACATTAAATGCTGTTAGGTGAACTTTTGAGTGCTTTTGACTTAAGTACATCTTCATATGTAATTTCATAATTTCTTCTGTTGTCTTTGACACAAATATATTAAAATACACTTTAAATGTAATATTGAATAACACACTACAGTTAAAATTATAATCAAGTACTTTAGCATGTTACCCTGCTTTGGTAGTCAACGCATCAAAATAATTATTAAAACATGATTTAAAATGTACTTTAAAGCATAACTTTGAAAAACGTGCACTTTTTGGTACAGTCAGCCATTTATTATTGCAAAATAAAACCTTTTTTGTTTTTTTACATAAGGTTGAATCTCATCTGTATCATGTTTTGTACCCAAATTTACAATAAATTATATTTGACATTAAGTAAATGAAGCCTAAAAAAAAAAAACGTAATTTTTTTGCCGGTGAAAATATTTCATTAGTAAAGTATTTATGGTAGAATTTGTTGTAGGCTACTGCCATTAAAAATGTATTGTAAAATGTATTACAGTATTTAAGGAAAAAATAATAATGTGAATAACTCACTTAAATTAAAATGTCCCCACACAGTAATGGTAGAAATGTGTCACCCAAATTAATTGTAAAGAAAATATCATCTTAATGTTCTTAAAACAGGTTTCATTTTCTTTGTCCAAAATATAATGTCGTATTTTTTTCTTTCAATTTTTAATGTGAAATTATGTAAGTAACTGATAATAATAAATAAATAAATAAAAACATGACGGGGCATTATGCATTTACCCTCAAGCCCTGGTTAATTTCCAACCCTTCTCTGCACATTTTGGCCAACTAGTGCACTAATGACTTGTAACACTGTTAACTGACATGTCCGGGTGACATATGGGCCTGTAAAAGGGAGTGCGCTCGTTTAGTAGTACCTGCCACAGAAACAAGGGTGCAAAACAGAGGCAGACCGTTAAAACGCCAGTGTGGGGATTGTTACTCAGCACCCTGATGACGCAGTAAGACACTGTATTGTCCCGGGACACAAAGGCATCTATTTAGGTGTGGGGTATTCACTGAGTGTCCGGCTGGGCTGGAGGAATTCCTCGGCCTCACGCGGGGCCCGCCTGCCTAATCTAGCGCTGGATGGGAGGGGAGGGAGCCGTTGAGGAAGTTGCTTGGTGGTCTTCTCCTTAGCGGCGTAATTTATGACCATCCAGAGGCCTGGCTCTAACATTGCAGAAAGTAGGAAGAGGAGGAGAGACATTGCGGAAAGACAAAGACGGGGGGTGTTGAGACTTTAAATCAAGATTGGTGATGGTTTGACTCGCAATCAATATGAAAACATTGAAACTATTATGCTGGTGGTTGAGCTCCGGAAACGACAATAAAGCTAAAACTATGAAGCAGTCGGTTTTCAACATTGATAATAATCAGAAATGTTTCTGAAGGATCATGTGACACTGAAGACTGGAGTAATGATGCTGAAAATTCAGCTTTGATCACAGGAATAAATGACATTTTACAATATATTCACATAAAAAATTATATTTTAAATTGTAATAATATTTCTCAATATTACCGTTTTGACTGTATTTCTGATCATGTACTAAATGCTTTGGTGAGCAGAAGAGACTTCTTTCAAAAACATAAAAAAAAATCTCACCTAAACTTTTGAACGGTAAATGGCATACACTGTAAAAAAAAAAAAAATTATTACAATAAAACTGTAGAATATTGTAAAACGCTACAGTAAAAAACCTGTTTATAGGTTAACAGTCAGTTCTCGTACTATATACAGGGAAAAAACTGTAAAAAAATCTCATGTCATTTTTACAGTAAAATACTGTTAAATGCTGTTTTTTAGAAGTAAAAAAAGCTAACCAAATTATAATTTACAGCGAAAAACTATAAACTGGCATTCCCATAATTCCCTGTGTGACACTTCACATTTAAAAGTATTTTGTTTAAACAATTATGTTTCATTTTTGTTACCAGTTATGCACATTTGGGTTTTATTTGACATCTTCCGTTGTTTAATGAATGTTTATTGCATTGTTATAGTGTCTGTGTGTTAGCATTATGGTGTTTTGTTTTGTGTGATGGACTTGCAGATTCCTCTTTTACCAACTGTTATTATGGTGGTTGTCAGTACATGCTAAAAGTATTAGATTTTACTAGTGTGCGTCATGGATTTACCGCAATGTTCTTGTTTGTAAATTACAGGTTTATACTGTCAAATTTACAGGTAATTCTGTAAATATGTTTCCATTTTTACTGTATTTCTGTACAGGATTATTCTGACAACCACAGCTTTTTTTTTTACAGTGTATTAACAGAGGCTTGTCATTTGTTGGTTGAACAGGAAGCTCCTCCTCAGTACTACCACAGCCGACAGACTCTAGTTGCTTCATCTGATTTTGAGCAAACACACGACACAGGTCATGATAACGTCAATGCACAGGTAAGCGCTATGAAACAACCTGCATCCTTCCACACTCTATTTCCCCCTCTGCCATCATTTACTCACCTTCATGTCATTATAAACCTGTATGACCAAAACACTTTTCCTGAATGGAAAGATATTCACTTTTGTTGTATGTTGTCATTGTCTTGACGGGAATGCAGGTTTGGAACAACATTGGTAAAGGGTGAAAGCTTGTCGTCATTACTTTCAGTTCCTCATTTCATCAGTTTTGTTTCTGCTTGTGGCTGTCAGTCGGGCTCTCTGTTCCTCATCGGTGTGCCCAGCAGCTACTACCTGTCCTCACCGGAGCCTCCTCATCCCCGTCTGCCCTCGTACGAGAGTGTGCGCAAGAAAGACCGACAACGGCAGATCCACATGATGATAGCCGACCGCTTCGGCCTCAGCGGACCTATTGTGACAGAGGTGACTCATTTAGCCATAGAAATCATATTCAGTGTTGGGGTGAGGCACTACAAGTAACCTGAGCGACGTAATCGGATTACTTTTTTTCAAGTAACTAGTAAAGTAACGAATTACTTTTAACGCATTACTTTTACATTTCCAACAAATTACCTAAGATACTTTTTACAAATAAGTAAGGCAAGTTACTTTGCTTTCCACATGTATTGTATCTACTGTACAGGCCTAATTATAACTTTTGCTCTCTTTTTCTATGAAAAGTAAACGAGTAATGCAGTTAGTTACTTTTTTTAGGGAGTCAAGCAATATTATAACGCATTACATTTGAAAGTAATTTTCCCCAACACTGATCATATTCATCTACAAATGACCAGTTGACATGAAATGCTATCACTATCCTCTAAGTAAAAAGCAAAGCATTTTTATTTAAATGTAATAAAAGCAAAAGTTACATTTTTTAATAATTTGGCTGGATAGAATCAAATAGTTTTTTCCCCCCATAATCATAACATTTTAATGAAAATATATTAATTCAAATAAGCCTGTAAATTTTTTTAACTGTCACAGTCTGTTGCAGCAATGAGTTGTACACTTTATTTAACAATAAACACGCAGGAGAAACACAACCAACTAAAAATAAACGAGAACGGACCAAGAATGACTCAAACTGAGGGCTATACACAGAGTAACTAAAGAGCTAAACAAGGAGCAGGTGGTTCAAATCAATCAAACAATGAGTTGCCATGACGACAAATGAGAATCTTCTAGAAACAAATAGAAAACAAAAGAGTTACAAACTAAAACTCCATACAGAAACCAAAACTGAGTGTTACACAAGTATGACTGGTCATGAATTTACAAATGACTTTAAAACGTAAACAATTCTGCACAATTGCATTATTGAGCCTTGTCGATCCCTTGTGAAAATTAATTCGTTAAATAGACTTTTTAAAACTGTTACACCGCAGGACCTTTGAAATGAACTAGTAAAATCAAAGTTAATAGCATCTAAAAAATACACTTTTACAAATGTATACAAATACACATTCGGACATAAACTTTTGATAATGGGGAAAAAAAAGATCCACGTTAGTTTGGCAGCTAAACAGTCGTGAAGTTGCTTTATTGAAGGCCAGCTATGACAGTTTTGTCTATTAGCAGTGTGTGGCTGCAGTGTAAGCTGGTTATCTGCGGCAGGTGTAGTCTAACTGAATTAAGAAAACAATAGGTTTTCAATATGAATAACCCTCAATCTGCTCCGTAACATGATCATGCATCATGTAAATGGCCATTCACTGCCGCACAGACAGGCCCAGTATCCCTCACCTGCGCTGATGCCGTGACGCATGCATGCTGCCCGCTTTTCATGGCCCTTTCATGTTGACTTTGTGCCAGGAAACGCATGAGTACACACACTAAGGGAAATTGATGCACATCAAACATAATAACTGTCTTGAAAGGTAAACATTGGCAGAGAGTACGGCTCTTTGTCCGTCCGTCCTCTCCTTCACTCTCCCAAGTTTCAATGGGTGGATCGATCTCTCACCAATTAACCATATTCCTGAGCTAAGTGGGCTTGTTCTCCATCTAAAAGCCACCGTTTTGTCTGTCCTATAATAGCTCTGTTTATTTTTAGGAGGCTAAAGGGAAGGCCCGGAGCTCAAAGATTAAACGTTATAAAGAGATAGCGAAGGAGAGACAGATAAAATGGCAGTAATATCACTAGCTGAATTTGTTTAAATAAATGTGGAGCACTGTATTATGAATTAGCATAGTGCAAAGGTCTTTATCTTGTGGGAAAGTACTGACCCGCTAAGCTGCAGAAATATTACATAATAAGAAAATATATTTCGGTAACGTGTATAATGCATTGTGAAAGTATTTTTAATGCATTAATTATGCCTTGTAATCCACCGTATCATGCATTCTATGATTTCACGAATAATCGTCACCGCAGTTACTGTATATTGTAATACTTTGTTACACCTTTATATAAAGTATAATGCGGGAAAACACACCCAGCCAGACACAGCCAATTTCAGATGTAACAAAGAATGTGCAAATATTATAATGCATTTTAACTTTGGTTACAATTATTTATGAAACGATTGAATGCATTACAATGTAGATTATGATTTTTTTTATATATGTAATGCATTATGCATAGAGGCTTTAAGTAAAGAGTAACTGATATTTTCACTAAGAAATGATGCTAGTGTGTTGTGGGCAGTTTTCAGGTTATAGAGTGCGACAGTCGGGTTATGGAAATAAAAACTCTATTCATTTTCTCCATAGGGAAATTGATTTTTAATGATAACTGATAAACCTTTAAAGGCAGACAGACTGTGAGCTACAAGGTTGTTCACCAATGATATTTGCTTCTGTTAAAGCCATCAACCCGCTTTATTTCAACTTAGTTTTAAAATAATCACCGCATTTGCGGTGAAAACTACATTACCCATGATGCTGATGGAAAATTCCACCAATCAGAGAGTCGATACACATGCCATATTTTGCAATAAACTTAAAATAAAAATTTTAATTCGATTATGTTGTTCGCAATGTTTCATGGGATTGTAGTTCTTTCAGTTTTGTACCTAATTTTCAAATACTTTTTTTCTCCAAATATAACTTTATAATGCCTTAACAGAGACTTTTTTGAAATCCCTATGGGAGAGAACCAACGCTGCTCAAAAAGTGGGCGGGCACTAGCACTGGTTTACGGTTGCTACGGTGTTGCTAGGGTATTCTTAGTGGTTTCTAGGTCATTGCTATAGAGTTGCTTATGGACTGTAGATGTGACTCAAAACTTTAAGAGAATCCACACCACCTCTATAAAGATCCTGACACATAGGAACGATATTGCTGGAATCACATTGAGAGCATTTTTTCCCCCAGCAGATGAACGATAACAAAAACATTGACTGCCAGTCAGAACTCTTCCCATTTTAAACCACACCCTGCAATTGTGGCCGCGTCCGAAAGCTTTTTTCTATTTCCCTCGCTGCTTTATCAGGCAATGGCTTTGTTTGCGCATGAAGGTGCCTCACGGAACCTCATGATACTGAATAAGAATAGAGAGAAATAGAGCGAGCTTTGGTGAAAACTAAGCTACGATAATAGTAATTTCTCACTAGAAATGACATCAAAAGTGGAAAAAGTTGTTCAAAAACTTACATTTACATACAAACTGACCACCAGCCGCAACTTCCAGATGCCATATGTCACAGACTGGAATGCACAGGATTGTGGGATATCGTAGGATACATCTATGCTGCCTTCAAAAATCGATCAGATGAAGTTGTCTCAGTAGACAAGATGTGACAGGATCACTGGATTCGGATGTGCCTTGCTGCCTGCGGAGACAGTGTTCTCCAGCTTTCAGACGCAGACACTGTAGCTGAAGTGCAAGTGTAGAATAAACACAATGGCTCTGTCCCAAATGGAAGCCTGAGCACTTGCGATCTTTCTCCGAGTCCACACTTTCCTGACGTAATGCTGCTTTAAAAGTCGTGTAGAAGTCTTCTGTGGAGGCTTGCGTTATTGGCTCGCGAGCACCCTTCTGAAACCTGAAATGGGACACATGAAGTCTGCCGTTTGGGACAAGGCCAATGTTATCATCCATTGGTGTGACTCTTTAAAGCTGGATGGATTCTGATTGGTTATTCGTTCATCAACTGTCACAAATCATTCTGAAAGTGATTCCGACAGTTTTGTGACTCTGCCATTAATGTTATAGCTGTTGTTTGGACGTCTCTATTCTTGCAGAATTAGAATGATCATTAAAGCTTTATAGTTAAAGGGTCATGAAACAGCCAAACTATTTTTTGAGATGTGAACAGAGATTGCACATCACTGAAAACACTAAAAGCACTCATAAATGTTATCAATAAGTGGAAATTGGTTAATTTTGCGTTTTTCCAAGCAATTTCGTTGCGTGTCCATATAATGAGAGTGTTGCAGGTCTGTGTTTTATTGGTTGTTGTCTCCCCTTTTCCCACCCTCTACACTCACACTTTTCCACAGTTTTTTTTTTTTTAGAGACTTTTCCCAACTCTGAGGTGTGAACAACCAGGCTAAAACTATTTGAAAGTGTCACTTTAAAGTTATTGTTCATTGTGAACAAGCCTGAAGTCAAAAAGTTTTTTTTTCCCCCAGTAATTATTAATTATTATCAATCGTTATTTCAACAAAAAACTAAATGTAATTCATGAAGCACCTTACAAGTTTTGTACTTTTGGGTAAACACTAAAAATGTGTGAAATAGGCAGAATCGCCTTTTTCAGCATTTATCTTGTGTGTCAAACACATGTTTTAAGTCATGCTTTATCTCTGTTTTTACCACAGCTGCCTCCCACATACGAGGAAAGCATTCGTCAGTCTGTCCAGTCCATTGACATCCTGTCACTCGAGGAGCGTCCGGTTACGGTCTGTGAGGCTGGGACAGATTTACCTGCTTATGAAGCTCTACCTCCCACCACAGACTCACAAGATCCCAATAACCCTGTTAATTAAACGCACTCACGCAAAGGGAAGAATGCAGTCCGTCCTCGGCGGAAAATGAACAGCTGTTGAGCTATCGACGCCCTGACAGCTGATCGCTCACCCTGACATTGGAGCAGACTTGTGTGTGTGTGTGGATACGCTGTGCTTGCAAAAGACACGAACATATGATAAGACTTGACCTATGCAATTGTTCCATTAGCACATCACTACTGGAAAAATGGAGAGAACAAGAATATGCAAGAATTTAAGTTCTGTCTCTGTCAAAACCAGCATCAAACTGCTTCATATACCGACATGAGATATTTCCATGACTTTTCCAAGCCTACACATTTTTTATGATACTAACTATATATATGCACATATACATACACACACACACACACACACACACACACAATGACACTGTAGTGACATTTATTAAGAAAGCAAATAAAGTCTAGTCATGTATCATTTTTCACAGAGATGGCCGGTTCATCTCGTACCAAAGTAGCAATTTATGTACTGTACCGATTTATATGCTTAAAAAGGACATTTGAAGCCATGTTTTGGACATTACAGGGAAGATTACTTGTTTTTGCAATACTTTTTTTACCGTTTCATTTTGTAATCATTATGTGCTTTTGTATGAGGGTTATATTCTTTTTTTGTGTGCAAAATTAGATTCTTTAGACAGAGCAATTTTTATCATTATTTTAGGCAGAGATAATTGAAATTAGCTTGAATTCAATTTAGTTTTTAACCAAACTGCATGGTGTATTTTTTTTTTCCTTTGTAAATATATCGATGACCAAATTATGCCTTGCTGAAATTCTGTCTGTTGAATCTCTCTTCTTGAATTACCATGAATGTGCTCATTTTTTCCCCACTGTGAATAAAGGTGACAAAAAATATCCAAATATTACAAAATTGTGACATTAAAAGGTGTAAAAGTCACTCGTTTTTCTAAAGTAACACTGTCCAACAGCGACACCCGCAGGTATAGTTGCAGTGGGAGGCTTGCTTTTAAACAGACCTCTAAAGCGTGTGATGGGTGTTACGAAGAAGATGAAGGGGGGTTCAAAAAGGGTTCTTTAATGAAAACAAACTCAGGTAATGCTCGAGAGGATTACAAAGTAACAGCATGTCTACACACAAACACGAACAACAACCGACAACGTTAGGGTGAAACAGAGCAATAAGGCTCGTTTTGCCGCAGGACAGCAAATGTGAGTACATTTTCTGTCATCTTTGCAGGACTGTGATAGATGAAGAGTGTGCAAAGTAACACATTTTAGCAACTGTGTGAAAGTGATTAGCACGACATACCTAAATATGAATATCATTAGGAATATATAATAATATAATGTGCATCACATGACTAAACATCATCGTTTTTAAATACCTCCGTTTTTACAGTCCACACTACAACGCGAAAACGGCGTTTTCAAACGAAACCGTGTAAGGCCACATTTACACATAGCCGGGTATTTAGAGAAACGAATATTTCCCACCCTCCGTTTTCAATATAACATCGTGCACACAACATCGTTTTCAAAAAAGTTGTCATTTACATCAACCCGCATAAATACGCCATCGAGAGCCATCATTACCATAGATATCCATAATAAAGGCTTACCGCGGAGTCTCTATCGTCATCACCGTCGGCCATCTTGTCACAGGCAAGCTTTCTTCTTCTTCTGTGAATTTTATTGGCAGTTTGCAATCTATGTGCATTACCGCCATCTACAGGAATAAGGTGTGATCACATTGGGACATGAAATACCCCCCCCCACCAATAAAAAAAACACACAAAAAACAGAGAATTAGAGCCCAAGCTTCAGCTGGCGCTACGTGTTTAGCTCCTCCAGCTTCAACCTCAACTCAACCTCCATAGAAAAAATAAATAAATAAATAAATAAATAAATAAAGTGTTTTTTAAAGAAATTCTATCACTGCTTTTATTGTAGAGTGTGTTCCTGGTAGCTTCCAGGCAAGCTTTCTGGCAGGCTCATACCTGATGTAAGATGAGTGATCAGCACGAACACAAATACTCTTATCTCGTTGAAATCTTGACGGATTTATAAACGGTTTGGTTTCTTACAAACGTTATTAACGTGGCTGTAATTCTGGATGATTACTTATTTATACACTTATTATTCATAAGTATGCAGTGTCATAACTACATCTCTGACGTTTATAACAAACCAAACCGTTTGAAAATCGCTAGAAAATTGAGCAAGTTATGGCTATTTAAAAAGTACATGCACCATAAAACACAATGTTATGAGTGAGCGAGCTGCCTGTGACAAGATGGCCGCCAGGTGCGGACGTCGACCTCCATTCGCCAGCAGCGCGGACGAGACATCGAGCCTTTATTATGGATATCTATGATCATAACTATGCCAAACTGGGCGCTCACGACGTTAATTAAGCATTTTCTGGCGCATAATGTGACGTTTGAGGACCTAAAACCCCGTTTCTCCCATTTGACACGGCAACACATAACTGGCGTTATCAGAAATCTCCACTTTGGCCGGAGTTTTTAGAAATAATCGTTTTCTGTGATAAAAACGGGGATTTCACGTAAATGAGAGGCCAAACCGCAGGGAAATATCTGCGTCTTCCCTTCGTGTAAACGGGGCTTTAAAACGAGTTTCAAAGTGCAAGTTTTTGAAAACGGTCTCCGTGTAAACAACAAAAACGCGAATCTCTGAAGACGATGATGTCATGCACAGGCATATTACGTGTTCAATCTATAGTGTTTCATCGACATCTAATGGCCTGGCAGAAGAATACAGCGTTTTTAGTCGTTTTCGCAGGTCCGTATGAATGGGGATCATTTTGACAACAAGGTGTCGTCTGTATGCGAAAAACTCAAAGGAAAAACATCTCAGTTTTAAGCATTGTCGTGAAAACGTACCCTAAAATACACAGTGATAATGAGATGATAACGAACATGTGTGATGATTAGATGAGTGTCTATGACAATCGATGACTGGTGGGAAACTAAAGCCCTAGGCTATTCGGATGGGTTTAACTTTACAAGGGTAGATGGAGTAATGCAATTTTACCACAGGACGTCTGTAATATTCATGGCCAATTCCCACGGGATAAGATTTCTCAGTAAAACCAGTAGAAGTGGGAGGGGTGGCTCGATTTGGGCATCGCCGTCACCCTCCTGTCGTCATGTGCGTATTACGTTGCTTCCTGATATCACTTGTACAAACACATAACCTATATAAAACAGTTATGTCCAGTCGAACGATGTATTAACTTCAGATTGGATTGTGTTGGTAATAGGCACTTACCTAACGCTAAAAGATGTTTCGTGCCTCTAGCAAGTGCTTTCGATCTTCTTTCTGATCTGAATGGTATGTGGAAAACACTTGAGTTTTGCCACAGACTTGTCCCAGCGTCTAGAACGCAACTGAATGCTTCTTCAAGCGTCTCCATACTTGAAAAGCCGCGGAAAACTACTTTTAACAGGTCTCTTCAAGCCAGAACCACCAGAATGGCCAACAGCCTCTACCCCCAGGCAGAGACTGCTGAATAAGCACCATCCCCGGCTACTCCTCTCCCTTAATCCACTCACTTAACACTACTTAACACTACCCAACAACTGCAATAACTGTGAACTGGACATTGCATTGTTGCACCACACACAATTATACACATTTTCTGGTTAATAGTGATTCTTCGCCTCATATGCCCTTTCCTTGTTTGTTATATGTTGCTTTGCCCTGTTTCTGTGCTATTGTTGATCTTACTTAATCTGTCTATTATGTAGCCTGGCATGCCAGACCTACATCAAGATGTTAGGTCTGGGAACTCATCATTGACAGGGCTCAATCTGATGGGTGGGATAAACGGTTGTCTTTTTAAATTCTCTCAGCACGCAATTGGATAGCGCTACAACCAATCAGAGCAACGAAGAAGGGGACGTAGTCAGCGGAGCAAGTTGATATATTAAACTTTTACCGTATCCAGTCCATAGCTGTCAACATTGAAAATAAGGGAGATTTCCAGGAATCCATCCCCAAAATAAGGGATTTTGTTTGTTTTTTACACGACCCACAAACTTTAAAAATAAAACACTAATCATTAAAAGTCTAAAGAGTTTATAACTAGCCATATGTGTGAGAGAGAAAGAGACAGTATGTGTGTGTGTGTGTGTGAGAGAGAGAAAGAGTCATTAAAACATTTTTTTTGTCATTAAAATAATAATATCATAGAGAATGTTTAAATACTAATATCAGCTTACGAGGGAAACGGAGGCGGAGTAGTATGCTTCGGAGTGCTGGAGATGATTCGGAGGTCCTTTACCGATCAGAGCGCGCGCTGACACGGAGTAAATAAAGCCTTTATACTCGACGCGTCCGCACGAGTGCGGCAAAAATGACAAGTTGATCGTTTCGCCACAGCTTTTTTGTAACAGCGCGCGCGGCGCCGCATCCGAGGATGAATGACTTCAAACCGAATATGTCCGAGCTTGCTCTGACCGTCGCAACTCTGCCGTCATTGTGTTAAGCCCGCCCACTAGGGTTGCCAACCGTTCCGTATAATACGGAATCGTCCCGTATTTGACACATAAAAGTCTTGTTCCGTATTGAACTGATACGGAACGCACTTTGTTCCGTATTTTTGAGAATCAATTCAGTGCAAATTCATGACAGGTACATACTGTAGCTTCTAATATATGTCAATATATGTTTTTCTAAAACCCGACGGTGCGCCACGGTGCGGTAGATACTAATTTCTCCCCCTGTTTGTCTATGATCAGCCGCGTAGCGTTTTTAACATCTTGGAACATCATCAGAGAATGGTCGTTAGTCATAGTGAGTCACGTATCGTCGCAACGATGACGACAAGTGACAACAGCGGGAAATGTAAAAATGACTACCTCCGAGCAGCCGGCGAAAAAGAAAAGAGCACAAAAATATAGAGTTGAATGGGAAAATGACTACCCGTGGCTGGAATGCGCGAGGTATTAAAGGTAGGAATATTAAAAATATTATTTTTTGCACTGGAAAGAACATTCTAGAAGTCTAATTCTATTGAATAAGTTCGCACAAGGCTACAGAAAACTGTTGTGTTTATTTTTCTTCAAATGCAGTCTAAGCCGATGAGTTTTGAATGTTATAGGCTATGTTATATTTGTTTAAGTTAAAAATAAAATGTATTATAAACTAAACAAATCCATGGTTCATTGTTGGCAAAATGATCAT